TTTTTTTTTTTTGCATTTCCTCCGTTTGTTATTTATGTTTTTGCTTACGTAAAGCATATCTTGTCCTTTTCGTTGTTACTGTTGTTGTTTTTTTCAGCTTACCGTTTAATATATCAGAACGTTAGTTTTAGGGATGCATTTTTTGTTTTGCTTTGCCAACATCCTAGGCAGTAATGAACACTTTTTAAAGTTTCGTCACTTTCTTGCTCGTAGTCATTGGCGTCAGTTGCTATCCACTTCAAACATCATAACAATTGATGTGGTTCTAAAAAAAACCTTTTTTCTCTTTCACTGGTGCAAAAAATATTGTAGAAAAACTGATTAAAACTTTCAACATCATTGTCATCCCTTTGCCGTCACTGCTATCTCCAGTAACATCGTCTTCTGACCACTAATAACTTCCACCTATCTGCCTATACCAGTTATAGTGATAATGGTATTGAAAAAGCCTCATAATTTTGCATTTTCGGGCTTATTAAGTACAAACGTAGGCTAAAAATGTATCTTATTACTCGTATTCTCTTGGCTGTTTTAATAATTGTCTTCTTCTTTATTTTCCTTTGTCATTGTTTTTCCTCCTTCGTTTCCATTCCACTTTTTCCAAGAAAAAAAAAACAGCCAAAGGAAAAAGAGGTAATAACAATGGTGTATCACTGTAAGTATTTGCACACACTTTTTCGATAAGTGAACTGATTCGGCAAACAAACAAAAAATAAACGAATGAACAAGCATCAAAAGAATTATCCAGGAAAGTAGTCCGCAAGCCGTTAAAAAAAAGAGAAAAACACAATTTTTTTTATTTACGATAAATATTACTCCACTAAAACTCTCTTTTATATGCCGTTTTCTCCCGTTTTATCTTGCTTTTTTTGCTCCTATTTTTTTTTTCAAACTTTTAGTTTTCTTTATACATATTTTTGTTGTTGTCGTCGGTTTATTTTTTCTTCCGTTTTACTTTTGCAGTTTTGCTACACAAAACATTTTCACTATTCAGTTTTGTGCTACAATACAATAAAAGATTGATACTCCTAACTTTGTGGATAATAACAAGATGAAGGTGAAGAAGAAAAAGATGATGATGATGGAGAAGAAGAATAGCAAGAAAAAAAGTAGAGAAGTATCTCTGGTAGGGAGGTTTTGGTAATCGAAATTTTCGTTGCCGCTACATAGGAACTTCTTCATCAACAAACTCACCATATTACAACGTTTCTATGCTATCGATGAATATATATTTTATAATAATAAGAAAAAGTTTTGCCAAGATTAATGATTAAAGATTTGT